GATTCGTTGATGAAAATGTCAATAGATTTATGTCATAGTTTTTGTCATTCAAAAAGAGTTTTAGTTCGTTATCATCTCATTGTCGTCGGTGAAAAAAATTTCGTTGACGACAATTATGACGAAAATTATTCGTCAACGAAATTAACACTGGGAAAGAGAAATGGTGTAGGGGTAATCCCGAAAGAAAAAGTATGTAAAGAATGTATTGGAGGTGAATAGAGTGACAGAATGATAAGTGTAAAGTTGGAAATTGAAGGGGCAATGATAAATGTCATCAGTGCATATCCCCTGCAAGTGGGTGTGTGTGATTTCAATGGGCAAGTTGGAGAAGGTGAACAGAGGTGATGAGGAGGTGATGGGTATGGTGTCAAGAAACAGAATGGGGAAGGGCAGATGGTGGTAGATTTTGCAAAAAGAATGGAAATGGCAGTGATAAATACTTATTTTAGCAGAAGCAGAAGCACAGTTTGACGTATAAGAGTGGGGGAAGGTGCACACTATGGGACTATGTTCTACACAGGAGATGCAACCGGAATGAGATCAAAGACTGTAAGGTGGTGGCAGGGGATTGTGTAGCTAAACAGCATTGGATGGTGGTTTGTAGGATGACTTTGGAGGTGAAGAGGAGGAAGAGAGTAAGGACTGAACCAAGGATAGAATGGTGGAAGTTGATGGAGGAAGACTGTTGCGTGAAATTCAGGAAGGAGGTGAGACAGGCACTCGGTGACGGTGAAGAGTTACCGAATGACTGGGTGACCACTGCAAAAGTGGTGAGGGAGACAGCTAGGAAGGTACTTGGTATGACATCTGGACAGAGGAAGGAAGACAAAGAAGCTTGGTGGTGGAATGAGGAAGTACAGGAAAGCATAAGGAGGAAGACGTTAGCAAAAAAGAATTGGGATTATCAGAGAGATGAAGAAAGTAAGCAGAAGTAAAAGGAGATGCGGTGCAAAGCTTAGGAAGAGGTGGCGAAGGCTAAAGAAATAGCGTATGACAAGCTGGATTAGAAGTTGGACACTGAGGAAGGGTTAAAGGACCTGTACTGATTGGCTAGACAGAGGGATAGAGCTGGGAAGGATGTGCTACAGGTTAGGGTGATAAAGGATGCAATTGGAAATGTGCTGACAAGTGAGGAGATGGTGTTGAGAAGGTGGATGGAGTATTTTGAGGAACTGATGAATGTAGAAAATGAAAGAGAGAGAAGGTTGGATGATGTGGAAATAGTGAATCAGGAAGTACAGGGGATTAGTGAGGATGAAGTGAGGGCAGCTATGAAAAAGTTGACGAGTGGAAAGGCGGTTGGTCCAGATGAGATACCAGTGGAGGCATGGAGATGCTTATGAGAGATGGCAGTGAAGTTTTTAACCAGGTTGTTTAATAACATCTTGGAAAGTGAGAGCATGCCCGAAGAGTGGAGAAGAAGTGTACTCGTACCGGATTTATAAGAACAAAGGAGATGTGCAGAGCTGCAGTAACTACAGGGGTATAAAGCTGATTAACCACACCATGAAGTTATGAGAAAGAGTAGTGGAAGCTAGACTGAAAGGAGGAGAGGTGATAATCTGTGAGCAGCAGTATGGGTTCATGCCAGGAAAGAGCACCACGGATGCAATGTTTGCTTTGAGAGTGTTGTTGGAGAAGTACAGTATAGAGAAGGCCAGAATGAGTTGTATTGTGTGTTTGTGGATTTAGAGAAAGCTTATGACGAGAGAAGAGTTGTGGTATTGTATGAGGAAGTCAGGAGTGGCAGAGAAGTATGTGAGAGTGGTGCAGGATACGCATGAGGACACTGTGACAGCGGTGAGGTGTGCAGTAGGAATGACAGACTGGTTCAAGGTGAAGGTGGGATTGCATCAAGGATCGGCTCTTAGCCCTTTCTTGTTTGCAATGGTGATGGACAGGCTGACAGATGGGATCAGGCAGGAACCCCCATGGACTATGATGTTCGTGGATGATATTGTGATTTGTAGTGAGATTAGAGAGAAGGGGAATGAAAGACAGTAGGAGCAAGACAGTGTACATGTGCATAAATGGGAGAGAGGGCAGCAGAACTGTACAGTTACAAGGAGCAGAAGTGGTGAAGGTGGATGAGTTTAAATACTTGGGGTCAGTTGTCCAAAGTAATGGAGAGTGTGGTAGAGAAGTAAAGAAGTGTGTGCAGGCAGGGTGGAGTGGGTGGAGGAGAGTGTCAGGAGTGATTTGCAATAGAAGGGTACCTGCAAGAGTGAAAGAAAACGTTTACAAGACGGTAGTTAGACCAGCTATGTTGTATGGCTTGGAGGTGGTGGCACTGACAAAAAGACAGGAGAAGGAGCTGGAGGTGGCAGAGTTGAAGATGCTGAGATTTTCTTTGGGAGTGACAAGAATGGACAGGATCAGAAATGAGCATATTAGAGGGACAGCACAGGTAGGACAATTTGTAGACAAAGTGAGGGAGGCAAGACTGAGATTTGGGAATGTGCAGAGGAGGGATGCAGGGTATGTCGGCAGAAGAATGTTGAAGATGGAGCCAACGGGCAGGAGGAGAAGCGGAATACCAAAGAGGAGGTTCATGGATGTGGTGATGGAGGACATGACAGAGGACACAGGTTGGTGTGACAGAGGAAGATGCAGAGGACAGTGCAAAATGGAGACGGATGATCCACTGTGGTGACCCCTAATCGGGAGAAGCCGAAAGAGGAAGAAGAAGATTTCTAATTGTTCCATTTCACTTTGCAGCATGTATAGCTTTACAATAAATTATGCGGATTTATTTTAAAGGTTTTTTTTTGTGTTTTTAAAAAGTATTTTAGAATTGCAATTATTTTAATAATACCTCTTAGTTCAGTTATTATATTAACATTATATAATTTAATGACAAAATACAAAATGCCACACTGTGATGTTTGTAAAATCTTCTGGAAACTCTAGCTGTCAGTTTTAGTGCAAATTTTAATCTTATCTTGTGTGCCTTAAACTGCAACATGAACGTATTTATTCCTGCTTTTAAGTCATTAAATCTTTGTTATACAAAATACCTTTTTTGAGATCTTAGGAATGAAACAATACATTTCAATCACACAGGCTCGCTCTCTCAGCTGAGTGATTCTGTTCATTCAGAATAGGGTTTCTAAATTGGTAACTACCGCCTGGAGCAAAACGATTCTGAGGGGCATTTTCCATTAAGGCCACATCGTTATATTGGAGTCGTGACCTTGCTGGCTTTTATGTTTATGTTATTGGTTGTAGCATTCTCAGACACAGAAAGTAATAGATGAGTATACTGGGGTTAAATGGGAAAAAAGAGGTTTTAGATTCAGAAGTGTGTGAGTAAGCTTTGCCCCTGTATTTATTAATAAAATAAGTGTTCAATGAAATGTTAGTCATTATCATATGTAATTTTCCAGATATCTGTTATTTATAGCTATTAACAAATAAACATAAATGGTGTAAAGAAAGTGGTCATGTCAATTATAAAATCACACATTTGGACACAACATGATATTAAATTTAAGGAAACGGTAACATCCAATTAGTAAATTGCAATCTTATCTCTATTTTATCTTTATTTTTTTATTTTCCTGTCTCTTTACAGGCTATTCACCCACATTGCACAGTGAATGTAATCCTATTAGACGAGATTTAGAGAATAAGATGTCTGTCAACCCATAGTGACACTGTTAATAGCGCAGCATTTCCTACTAATAGTGAGTGAGCGAAAGGATGATATACTTTCTTGCCACGTTCATAATGACAAAGGGATTTGCCTGTCTGGTAAAAGGTAACTTTGCTTATCTCATTTGTTAATTTGCCTTTTCATTCATTTAATCTTTTTTTTTTTATTTGCTGACTTTACAGAGGCTTTTATTTCAGCCTTTGGAATTTCAGGATTTATTATGCACATGCTTGATGTGTGCATCTGTTAAGTTGCATCTGTTTTCCTTGAATGTCCTCTATATGCACTTGTAAGACAAAATGTTTGATGACTATGATTGTGTTATCCTTGACAAAGAAGTTGTAACACAGTTGTATTGCTACTTTTTATGTCAAATAAACTCAAACTCAATATAGACTCAGTGGGCAACATGAGTCAGTAAATATGGAGTGAGCCTTTAGATAATATAAGAATATTTTTAATTGACAAACAAACCGTAAACTAGTCTAGAAAATGGCAAATAAGAATGTTCAAGATAAAGAAATGTCATGTGTCCAGTTTTTAGAAATGTATACTTTGTATTCGTGGTTTCATGACTTTAAAAACCTTTTTTACCATTAATATCATTTTCAAGAATAAGAAATTTAGTGAATTTAAAAATCAAGAAATGCTGTAATTTAACAATGAAGAATCAACATTTTTTTCTTCACACCATGAATACATGTGAGTGTTTATTTATTTATTTATTTTTTTTTTTTTACAAATATTACATTTTGGGGGAGTCACACCACGGCGTTTTTCAATCTGAACTAACCTCACCATAAAAAGGCTAAATTATTTGATATGTTAAGAGACTTACTGATATTGTTATAAGGGTCTGCAGCGCAGAGGTCCTCTCTTACACATGACAAATATTAATAAGATTTTTTTTTTTTTAAGAAATAATAGTAAAACCTATGGCTAACTACAATAATGTGTTTCTTTTAAAGAGACTTTTTTTTTTTTTATCATGATTTACATTTTTTTAGCTGTGACATTTTTTGACATTATGCCCCACAAAAATGTCAAAATGAATTTTAATTCAGAAATTGTACCGTTTGTTAAAGACATGTATGAGGCATGTATGGCATGTATGGCATGTATGAACTAAATTTTTTATGTACTGAATAAATTAATGAGTGTCATGTCATAGACCCATCGATTCTATTATTTCTTTATGCAGAATGCTGGGTGGCAATTTGTTGAGGATTTTCGGCAAATGTCTGGCCAATCAGCTTCCTCCATCTCATTTACATCCCATCTGCCCTGGAAAGATCTAGTGACAGCATTAAACCATGAGGAAATAAGCTTTGCCAATCTGAGGACCCAAACAGGTTTCAGGGTCTGATGAGGATTTCACTCTCTAGTCCTTACGTCTTCTGGAGAACTTCAGTCTATTGCAGAATGGTATCTCTGCTGTATGCTTTGTTACTCTGGGCAGCATGGGTCCAATTTCCTGTTGTCAAAACCAAAGAGGCTGTTGAAGAATCTAAAACCACAGACAAAACAGGCACTTCTCAGACACATCGAGTTAGCAGTGGCTTAATGCAGTGTGGTGAATACAGCAATGAAGTGATGCCAAACAGACAATGTCGTTTAATAGCCACATTACCTCAGCTGGAGGAGCAGAGGTGTCCGGACATGTTCCGCTGTACAGATGAGGTCTCCTACTGGCTGCGTGAGAACGAAGAGCGCAAGCAGCAAATGCAGGACCTGAAAGAGACCATCTCAGAGCTTCAAGAAGAACTGAGGAATCACAGACATCGCATCAAAGTGCTGGAGCTGCAGATAAGAGTTCTCCACCTTATTTTTCTTGTAAAAGCGGGCGCGGCCATTTTTAAATTGAATGGGTCTGGCTTCCGGTGTCATCTGCTTCCAGCTATTTTTAGCTGTACAAAACAGCTAATTTTGCTGCTTGATATTGCAAACTGGTGTCTTACCATATTATTTTAATGTATTATCTTAATTATGAACACAATGGTTTGTAGTGTAAACCGTTTTATTGTGTAAACAATGACTGTTGCGATATATCGTCTTTTATAGCATCCCATGCATGACACAGCATTTTAAATGTATTCTAATAACCTGAAACAATTTGCATAAAGCACATTTTTACATTCTGCTGTGCTGCTTTTCCATTGTTTTTCTATGTAAACATACAGGGGTGCCATAATGAGGGGGGGGAATGTTAGGACAATTCCAAGGACCCAAAGAGGGAGAGGGGGCCCGGAACACGATTTTTACCGAGGGGGACCTCCCTCCGTCCCCGGAGTCAATATGCTGTTCAGGGGGCCCAGAAACCATAGTGGCGCCCCTGCAAACATATGTTAGACAGACGTGCTTGACCTTTGCTCTGGCAGCTTTTGAAGAGTCTTGCTCATCACATCGCGTTCTAAAAATTTAGCACACACCAAAATGTACAGTATATGGCTGACAGGACAGGAAAATTGTTTTTTACTGACATAATGGCCTGACAACATCTCATCTGACCACAGTTCACTGTTGTTCTACTGAAGCTCCTCGTCACCTGTAGCTTGTCCGCGCTCGTTTGACTAGCACCTGGCACTGAGGTGAAGTTGTAGTGCGCATCTGAAAAGTCTCCCGTTTAATGTGGCCGTATAAAGATGTTCTGTGTGTCTAAATAAACGCAATTCTTGTCAAGAAAAAGAGACAGAAGCAGCAGTTGTGCGTGGGGTGGCCAGCCCTAGCTCCGCCCCTGCGTTAATTGTGTTAAAGGGGTCATATGATGCGATTTCAATTTTTCCTTTCTCTTTGGAGTGTTACAAGCTCTTGGTGCATAAAGAAGATCTGTAAAGCTGTAAAGTTGCAAAGACTAAAGTCACAAATCCAAAGTGATATTCTTTATAAAAGTTAAGAGTCAACCACGCCTACCTAAAACGGCTCGTTCTAACACGCCCCCACATGCTACGTCACGATGTGAGAAGATTTGCATAACGCCGCCCAAATGTTCACAAA